AGCGGTGCCGTCCCTTTAAGCGGCACCGGGGTTTTTCGCGGTGCCGGGGCTTGTAGCGGCGCCGCGGTTTGAAGCGGCGCCGGCTTTTCTTTCCGCCCGGGTTTGTCAGCGCGTTCTCGGGATGGCTCCGAGGCAGCGCGCACCGGCATTGACGGCAACCGTGAGGATTTCCCTTCTGCTTTATTAGCAGGGGTCCTCATATTTCTTTGTCCCTCTCCCTGAGTCTTGGGGGAGGAAGAAGGCGGGAGAGAACGAGAAGGTGAAGTTCTTTGTGCCGCGGGTTTCAGTGGCAGCAGAAGCCGGCATAGGCTCGCAGCACTGTTTGCATTTTTTGAAGCCTGAGGAGGCAGACATATTTAGCTCCCCGCTTCTTTAAAGTGTTGTATTTCGTTTCTTGTCTTTTGTGTGGTTATATGACTTTTCCTTTTTTTTTTTTTTGACTGAGAAGCCAGGAGAGATAGAGCCCCGGTTCACCCGGGGCTCCGGTCTGAAGAGAGTTCAAGTCCCCGAGGGGGGATTTTGTCGTCAGTTTTGCTGTGCTAATAAACTATTTTGTTTTTACTTTTCCAAGAGAAAAAACACTAGGGAAACTAATTTGGAGTAAGAGGGGAAAAACTATGTAACCTAACTAATGGAAGAAAATACAGTCTGAGAGACTGTGAGGGAGCTCCTGCTCGCTCCGTCCGCTGACGAGGGCGGTTAAAGAGGAACTGAAAGGGAGGGGGTTGAGCCGCGCGCTGCAGAGGGCGGGAAGGGCTCGAGACGCCCTCTGGGCATGCGTGGCTCAACAGGGGGAAAACTGCTTTGAAAAGCTCCGATCTGCGGCTCAGGGCGACCCTTCACCTAGAGTGGAGCACCCACGGGGACACTACTCGAAGAAGAATGTGTCTACCAGCAATTAGCAACCCTTTTCTGCCAGCCAAACAAAGTTTCAAACAATTTTACAGACGACATCTTCATCCATCAGCACGATCTACAAGCTGCACATGTCACTACAGCCATGCACATGACAGTCTACTGGGCGAACAATCATATCATCTGCTGCAAACTATTATTAGTAATTCAACCAGTGATCACAAGTCACCATCTAACTCGAATCAGACAGCTCAGTGTAAAACAATTGTAAGATGAAGCTTCACAATTGCTGCTCTTCAATAACATTATGTAAACAGTGAGCTCAATACACTGTATCAAGGTGCTGTTACCACTCTCAGCACAGCAAAATGACATCATCAAGACTAGCTTGATGAGAGAAATCCAGAAATTCAGGATACATTTTTGATCGTCTGGAAAATTATTTAATCTGAACAGGTTGCAATCTTTCAAAAAAAGTCTTTGAGGCAGTTGTTCATGAGCTGCTCTAAGCTAATGCCTGTGCTCTCCAGGAACATGCTCTAGAAGAGAGACAAACTGATTATGGACAGATTTGCAGAGTCTACAGAAACGTTTAGGCTGAAAATCAATCTGAAAATGACACAAGCCATGTATAAACCTGTGCCAGGGAAACCCTACCTCTCCCTCCCTTCCCAAAGAAAAAATTATCAGCAACACACAACTGAATGCTGTTACAGACTTCTGCTATTTGGCAGTATATTGAATGATGTTACTATAGGCAAAAAGAAAAGTAGTATCAACAAAGCCAGTTAACCATATAGCAGACTTAAGCAGAATCTGACAGCAACAAGGCATTAAGCTTCAAGCCAAGCTAAAAATTGATAAAGCAGTAGTGCTGTCTGACTTGTGTGTGTGTGAAACCTAGACCTGTTACAGGCATCACAGGAGCTTCTTTTGCTTCCTCTCCCTGGTCTGCTGGAGACCAGGGAGAGGGAGGGCCCCGTTCGTAACTGCGGATCCGACATAAGTCGGATCCGCGTAACTCGGGGACTGCCTGTATATATATAGTAAATATTCTCCCACAAAATCTCCTTAACTGGACAAACAGTTTTGACAGTGGACATCAGGATGTACATAAAAATGGCCATAAGAAGTATTCCTAAATGTAAAATTACCACCTTAAAAATGTAACTTGTTTTTTTAGATTTTGCAGTAACTAGAATGGTGTAAATTTATAAATTTCAAAATTTGGGACTTCAGTTGCTAAAAGGACCAAGAAAAGTTTAAATTAATACAAAATGCCGAGGAGCCATTTTAAACGTCCATAACTCAAACAAATTAACAGATTTCTTTTTATTTACAGCTTATATTTTTTAATTCTGAAAAATTATTTTTACAGTCAAAGTTCAGGATGAAATTTTAGCCCCACTAACATCAGTTTATGTTCTGCCATTGACTTAGGTAGAGCCAAGATTTTACCTAAAGTGCCAAAAATTTGTGAAAGATACATTGTACTATTCATACATAAGCAATCTTAAAGAAGGCATTAAATCTAAACTGAAAATCTCAACACAAACTTATCTAACAAGCAGTTAAGGCACATATATACTATTAATTTAATAGCACATATTAGTTGTTATATTATGTATGCACATGCAATATGAGAACTAATATAAGAACTGATATATTTTTGAGCAGCTCTGAAGAATTCCTACAGATTTGTTTTTAAGTTAAAGTTTTGTTGCAGTGAAATTTAGACTTGGTCGCAAATGGTTTTTTGAAGCAATCTGAAAATTTAGAAATAATTTTCATTCAGTGAGTTTCACAAGGAACACGTTTTTGGGATATACAAAATTTCACAAAAATGTTTGGTCTTAGTTTTTTCATTTTTGTGCCCTCCTCATCTTGATTCCCCCAATCTTCTCCTCCACCCTTCCCTACCCCAAACCCTCCATATCCCTGAGTTTTTTCAATTTTGCCATTGAAAATGGGGGAACAAGGAAAAGGAGGGATATATGAGAGGGGAAAAATTGGAAAAGTTTTCATTTTTAGATTAATTAAAAAAATCTTCAAATTACATTTTTGCAAAAATCTACAGTTTAAAAAAAGACCATTTTCAATATCCTTTTTTCCATTTGAAAAATTTCAATCAGCTCTACAAATAACAAATTGAGAAGAAAAGAACATAACTCACTTGAATGACCCAAAGTCTCCTCATGGAAATACTCATCTACCGTAAATTGGGAGCAATGAGACAAATCACTGAAATGTTTTCTTGGCTGAGTGAACACCACCTCATTCGGAAAAGAGGATTCATCAGCTTTTGATGTTTGCTTTCGTGACATCCAGGTTTTGCATTCAGAAGAAAATTCAGAGTCATCTGCAAGAGACACGTCTGTAACTTTCCTAGATCACAGTAAAGGAAGGGGGTTGAAAATCTGTTCTGGTAAGTTTGAAAGATCAGAAACGACTCTGTTACAAGGGTTTCTCTGAATTGTTAGTGATATGGTATTGGCAGACCTATTATATGTAAGAAAATGCAGGGGAAAGAAGATGGAGGAAGGACAAAACTTCATAAAATTTAACACAATGAGAATATAAAAAGCTCAAACTGAAAACAAGAAGTGCCATATTATCAGACTTAATATTGGAGTAAATCTCACCTTCACTGACTTCCTACCCAAAGTCAATTTCAATAGGCCTGCCTAGGTTACAAAAATCTCCATGGCTCAAATACTGATACCTTTTCATGTCACTGGCTCAATTTGCTCTGCAAAATTCTGTCTCTGATCTGTCCTCCACATGCTGATTTGAGCAAAGCCCCCCCGCTTCCCACCCTAAAAATCCCAAGGAATTATCTACCTACAATGATCATTAAGAACAGACACGCCCAATTAACACAGAATATACTAGTTAGTTATGTTACTGTGGGCTTACCATTGCCATATTGCTGATTGACATCTAGTTTACTATCTCCGTCGTTCCAAGTCTCGTCTACATGAGGAGAATCCATGTTGCTAAGGACAGTGCTGTTGAGCCATGAATCTGAGGCACTGAGCCTGAACAGACTGGTGAGAGAGCGACGGATTTTCTTCCTCCTCCTGAATATTCTAGAAAGAAAAAAATCCCCATGTTTTAAAAGGCAAACTACATTTATTTTTAGAACAGGAAACATGTTCTAAAGGTTAGACTACAGCCCTAAGAGTCAGGCATCCTGGGGTCTGTTCCTTGATATGCCAAAGGTACGCTCAGGAGCTTGTCATTACATTTCTCAATGCCACTGTTTCTTCATCTGTAAAATGGGTATAACAATATTTATATATTTCACCAGAGTGTTCTGTGGTTTAATAGTTTTCAAATTATCCTAAGCTCCTTCAATGAAAAACCACTAGACACTGTAACATTAAGGAACCAAATTTATAATCCTTCCTCGGGCTACGTCTAGACTACGGAGTTTTTCTGAGATACCAGAAGTATCCCAGAAAACCTCCGTTACATCCAAGGAATGTGTCTGCTTTTCCGACATTTTTTGTGGAAGAGCAGATGTGCTCTTTCGGAAGCCCTGTCTTCCTTGTTTCACAAGGAAGAAAGGCTCTTCCGAAAGAGGAGGCTTTTCCGAAATTTGGCCTAGTGTAGATGGGCCAAATTTCAGAAAAGCCTCTTCTGAAAAAATAATTGGAAACAGATACGCAAATTATGGAGCACAATTTGCGTACCTTTTTCCAATAAAACTCTGTAGTCTAGATGTAGCCTCAGATATGTAATCATATGGGAATTTTACCTGAATAAGAGTGCAGGACAGAACCTATATTTTTATTTATTTTTTTTATTCTCTGTCATAATACCCTGTTAGGAGCAGGACAGTAACACTTCTCAGTCTTCAGAGTGTCCCTCTTCCTTGGATAAACCATTTGTTTTGCTGAATTTCTAAAAATTACAGTTTTTAGGTTTACTATTCTGCCTGTGTCCCATCATCAATTAACTCTCTAGAATGGCATCCACACATAGAAACAGTGTTAATTAATTTTGAGCTGCTAGTGAACATCAGAAGGAGATTCATCACAAATGCACTGGGGTATTTAAATTCCAAAGAAATTTCTATATCACATAAAACACTTTTATAGCAACAATGATTTGGAGCCTTCCATATGTAATATAGTATTAATTTATTAGACGAACTCTTGAAGCACAATTCAGCTTTTGCTCAGTCCTCATTCAGGCAAAACTCCTAATGAGCCACTGAAAATGATGCATTTACAATGTTTTGAAAATTATGATACAGGCAGTCCCCGGGTTACGTACAAGATAGGGACTGTAGGTTTGTTCTTAAGTTGAATCTGTATGTAAGTCGGAACTGGCGTCCAGATTCAGCCGCTGCTGAAACTGACCAATGGCTGACTACAGGAAGCCTGAGGCAGAGTTGCTCTACCCTGGGCTTCCTGGAATCAGCTGCTGATCAGTTTCAGCAGCAGCTGACTTGGGGATGCTTGGGGTTCTTAAGTTGATTCTGTATGTAAGTCAGAACTGGTGGTCAGTTTCAGCAG